GCACGCGCGCGCACGCACAGACACACACACACACAAACACACACTACTGTGTCCTTTGGTGTGATACTGTTGTTATGTTGACTCTATGGACATGCAGGAAGTAAAACCTTTTCCTAAAATATACTCCACAACTGTTTATTGTTTTGGCCATGTGAGAGTAATCTGTTAGTAATTGGAGAAGGCTGAACACACAAACTTACACACACACACACAAACAAACAAACATTCGCCCTCTCTCTAACATTACACTAACTACACAGTTGAGAGGCAGCAAGTCAGACTAAAAACAAACAAAAAGTGTGTCCGTCTTTGGCTCTGAACTAGCTGTTACCATATGGTATGGGGAGGTAGGAAAGGTAGACAGGGAGAAAGAGATGGCCACAAAGTTAAGCTAAGAAGTAACATGTTATGAGATGGATAGAGAGGAGAGAGGCAGGGATGGAGGGATAGAGGAGGGGATGGAGGGATAGAGGAGGGGATGGAGGGATAGAGGAGGGGATGGAGGGATAGAGGATGGGATGGCGGGATAGAGGAGGGGATGGAGGGATAGAGGAGGGGATGGAGGGATAGAGGAGGGGATGGAGGGATAGAGGAGGGGATGGAGGGATAGAGGAGGGGATGGAGGGAGGAAGAGGGATGACAAGTCTGAGATGAATCAACTGCTGTTCCAGGGAGGATCCCTGGTGTGTGTGTGTGGGTGGCATTTGTCACAGGATATCTCTGTCAAAGCCTAGTTCAAGGGAGAGTAGACATATGAAGTTAGTGGAGAAACTATCTAAACAAATGGTCTGAATGAAACACAGACACACACTCCCCCCGTTAGTCGGTCTCAGTGAATCACTGTGTTATCGATCCACTTGCCATCTATTATTCATTACCCCCCCCCCCCCGCTTATTATCCCCCCACCCCCACACACACACACCTGCACCTCTGGTCTCCCACCATAGACACTGGCTGCCTTGGCAACATGGACTGACATTCTGCTAGCTGGGAAAGAGAGGGGAAACACAACACCACTTTACAACATCCATCATTTACTAACTGACACACACACAACACTCTGCACCTCATGAAATATAGGCCTAGATTCCTTTGCCTTGAGGTCACCTCTGAAAGGATACACACAAAGTACACACACACTCAGCTCAGGGAATGCTAATGAGGTCTA